CTTCAGCCTCCAGTGGCTGACTAGCATATATACCATCCCCTTTAAATCATGACAACTCTATGGAAATTTACTCTTAAGGAAAAGTAAAATTATAGAAATACTTTTGCAACCCTATCACTGGGAAATTAAGCCCGGGTATCAACTTCAGTGCCAAATCAATACCCAGATACCTTTAGCATGCTAACAGCCCCAAACAAATCATCTGTTATGCTTATGGATTTAAAAAAGAAACTTTACATGAGTTAGAGACATGCTTAGGAAAACCTTAGAACATAGAAAATGTCATTTTAGTACTGATTTTATTTTGAATATGATTATTGTTCCAGCCTAGAATTGTGTTTTTATTAATTAGAGATTTGCTACAGTGTTATATAGAATTTTCATTATGTTTCTGGGGCCTGATAGTCTCTTCTAGAGTTATCTAGCTTTATTTTTACTACAGAAATCAGTGGTATAATTATATTTCAATTTACAAAATTCACTTTACAACCACATTTTTAAGAACACATCTCTTCTATAAAATACAGGATGCTACAAAGCAGGTGATCTTGGAACAGGAAGAAGTTTTAGATGTCTCAGTACAAACGCTTTCCCATATAGGTGTCCATTTAGTGACATCCCTGACACTCAGTTTCTGCTAGAATATTGCCAGAAGAGAGGTCTTGTTGGTGAAGTGACCCTGACCAAGCCTCGATGACTCAAATTATCACAAGGTCTTAAAACTTCCCTCTGGTAATATCAACCCTGTGGTCTAGCCATATAGAGGGAGTTTTACCTCACTTTCACATGCCAGTTCTCAACATCTCTGAATTCAGATATTTTGCCTTATCTGTCTTCTGAAGACCACACAAAATGAATGATTGGAAGCATGTACTTAACAATATTTATCCATTTAAAAATATTTTCTCCCCATACTGTAACTATTCCAACATGAAGCCATTGATTTCAATATCTTAACCAAATAATTCAGCACCCATCTACACAACAGAAACAAAAATTGTTTTAAGAGGAAAAAAACATTTTTATTGCTGGGGATGCTCACTGCATGCTAAAACTGGTGATGACTGCAGGTTCTAGAATCAGATTACTTTGTGTTCAAATTCTTGCTCTACCACTTAGCTTGGTTTCTGCTGATATTTCCAGAGGACCAAGTCGCATAATGTGTATAAAGCACTTAGTACAGGGCCCGGCATGTAATGAGTGCTAAAAAATGCCAGCTACTGTCCCATTACGACCCCCTTCTAATGACTAAATAAGTGTAATGCTTCGAAAATTCAGACTGGTAACTGGGAGCTTATAATAATATCTCCATTAATTGTTCTACCCTATTGACTCAGTTCCAGAAGTGATTAAAAATCAACTAAGTAAACAGCTCATCCACCTATAGTTACAACATTTTGAGCATCTTAAAGAATATCAAATCACCAACACCACTGCTTTTTGGCCTTAAAGATTTCTGAATTGTTTTTTAGCACAGCTTATGGCACAGTAGAAGTTGGTATAGAACTGGGTCGATGTGGAAGTTTTGACTGGGGAGAAATTAACTTGCGAAGGAATTTTTAAATGGAAGTGACAGAAAAGCATCATAGAAAATAATGTTTTCTCTGACATTTTTAAGTTTTGAGGGGTGACAGGGTTACATGAACAATGAGAGACACAGAATTTATTAATACAGTCAAACAAAATATACTACACAGGTAATCTGCCACATAGTCAACAACAGATAGATTTTTTTACTGTTTTTCATGGTAATCAGACTTGGGTGTTTACATGTACGAA